CCGAGACGTCGTTCATCGCGGTCGATCGGCTCATTTTTTCGACTTTGACCACCTGGATCAAGACCGCGCTCGAAGCATCGATCGCTTCAGCGCCCACGCCTGTCGCCAAGGCTGCCCGGTGGCTCCAACTGGGCATCACGTACCAAGACGAAGTCGACCACGCTCAAGCCGACGCCGTCCGTGTGCTCTGTGCCCACGACACGAGTGCCACCACCTACACGGTGACGCCGCCGCCCCGCCGCTACTTTTTCGAAGCCGACTTGATGGCGATCGGCGATAAACCGTTTGACGTCGTCGACGCGGCGTATGACGAGTACCGTGCTTTTTGTGATACGCACGCCGTGCCGATGGCAGAGCGCCTGCATCGAACGTCGCTGCCGTCCTTGTGCCGCGACTGGCACCCCATGGTCTAAGACCTAAACACTATCCTTTTTGTATGGATATGCAGCAGGTATCTTTTTGTCTTGTCAGTGTCGAGGAGCAAGCGAGTCCACTCGATGACGCATCGATCGCGTACGCGTCGACGCGATTTGAGAGGAGCTCGTGAGTTCATCGTTCGGGGTAGGGTTAGGGTAGGGTAGGGTTAGGGCAATGCGGCCAATTTAACAGTGACACGAGCGTCCTCGCATGGACTCTAGTGCCATATTCATTGCTAGGTGACATTTCGATCACTAGCGATGGGGTACATATGTACGACGGTCGCCACGTGCATTGCATTCAGTGATCCATTGAAACATTGAAATTTTCTCTGCACCACACTAGACCACAACACTTGAGAACTCGACAACAAATTGACTGCACAAAGCAACTAACATAACATGTCTATTAAATGCACCACACGGAGAGAGTGGTCGCGTGGTGCATCGCGTACGGCTTGCTGGGCGGAGTAGGCCCCGCACCTTTGTCCCGAAGGTCAAACAGCGGGGCCGGGCGCAAGAGGTTGACGACAAACTCGGAGGGTTCGGTGCTGTGCGCGATTACTTCGTCGGCGCTTCGTCGGTCCAAGCACTGCAACAAGCTCACTCGCAGGCGTTCGTAGAGCTGGCCGTCGCAGTAGCAGAGTACAAAGCAGTCGGTCGCACGCAAATTGATGGTCGGTGTGGCCTTGAGCTGCGGGTACGTCTCCATGATTGCGTGCACGGTGCCCCCGCGCGCCTTCTGTCGTGGTGGGCGACGTCGCAGTGTGCCCAGCGTGACTCGGTTCTTGATGTTGTTGTAGTGAAAACTAGCATAGTCGATATCGGCTTTCAATTGCTTTGCGCGTCGGGCCGTGTCTACGTGTTCATGAGCGCATGACGACTTTGAGAACAGCGCTACGTACTAAAGTACGGGGTCGTGAGACCATAGAGTAGCGGAATACTTGTGATCAGTTGAACGTAAACGATGCACCCGAGACAGGACTCGATCACTTGATTGGCCGATCCGGGGGGTACACCGACGGTGAACGTCCATTGGTACAGCCACGTGAAGACCGGAATATGCCCGTTCATCCACGTAAGCAACGGGCCGTAGACCATGACGGCCATCGCCAAAATAGTCGGGTCCACGTCCGCAAATAGTCGTTCTTTACGAAAGCGCTTGAGAAAAAACGAGACGAGGCAGAGACCCCAGTAGGCAAACCACACCTAATCAACAAGAGAAGACTCGAGACACCACCGATCGACCATGAAGCGTACGGTGCGGGATAGGTACCACGTGCTTCGAAATACGTGCTCGAGGCTGCCCGTCTGTGCGACTTGCATGATGGCAACCGCGAGGTTGGTGACGCTGAGCCAAATGTCTACAAAGTACAACGTCGCCACCGACGGGTCCATGAGGATTATCGCTGTCGGGTCCCCGACCACGAGTTCGTACGACCAGACGCCGCTCGGCAGCGTCGCGCGGTGCCCTTGTCTTTGCAAGACGCGGTCCAGAGCATATACGTGTTTGTAGTACCCATGCCAGAGCCGATACCACACAAAGAGCGTCGAGGCCAAGCGGTAGCCGAATTTGAACCAGATCCACGGACCAAATCGCGACTCGTAGTAGATATAAGTGAGCGTCATGGCCGTCGCATCGCTGCTTCCGCGGTGCACAACGTTCCCAGGTTGGAGCCAAAAGCACACATAGCCCGTTGAGAGCGTGCAGAGTGTGGCCTGGAAGCACGAGCCTTGGGTGGTCCAGTCAACAGCGCTCGCGTTCGGCGCTACCATGGCCGCGCAGAGCATCTCCATGGTGCGGTTGGTGTAAAATACGAGCCCAGGAAGACCCGGAAGCTGCGTCTCAAAGCATGTGCGGAACGACATACTCGGCGGCCGTCCCAAGCGCAGAAGCGCACGGGCCACTTGGGCGTTGTTGGGCTTGTCGACAAAGTACAAGCTGTCATCTGGTATCGTTGCGTTCGAGTACATTGCGCGGCTGCGGCTGAGCTCGGCCGAAACGAAGTCAGTATAGTTGGCATACGCAAGGGGCGGCGAGAGCTTGCCTGTCCACGGAAGGTACTCGGAGATGTAGGCCGTGAGCGGCTACACGCTGTCAACGACCCAGAATGTGAATACATATAGGCGTACCACCGTCGAGACTTTGAGGAACGAGGCGACGCTCAGCGATAACGCAAGACGGCTCCAACGGACACGGCGACCAGCGGCAGAGACGTCGGCCACCCTGCCTTGCCCCATGTCCGGTCTTGCTTTCAATGATGCTTCAAGTACTATCTTTGGAGCGTACCCCTACCCCTATGTGCCTTTTCTTAGCAACGTCAATAACGGGCAGGGCAAAAGTCTTGGGCGAAGTGAAAAGCCGACAATGAATCCTGGGTCGCCGAAATGAAGGAGTGTATGAATCATTAAGAAATTTGGATCTCTATATACATTGAACTTCCACTCGGTACGCCCCTTCCTGCGTCACATAAGTGTAGCACTTTGCTAAATCAAAGACAACCGGTCGAGATTGTATTCCGACACCAACGGTCGCACCATATGTATGAACGTGTTTGGCGTTAACTTCGTTGTTACAAAGGCTTGCGTTGAGACTAACAATCTCCTTCTTCTTCATTCGCTTGCCGGGCCGTGGCTGCGCAGGCGGCGGCGCGGGGCTCGTCTTGCTCTTCCGTGGTCGCCCTACGGTGCTTGTGGTCGCGGGTGAGACCCTAAAGTATGCCTGACGCCAGGTCGACCGGTCTTGGCATAAACCAATATGGCGGGTCAGTGCTAGTACATTCCCGTTTTATAACGTAGTCTGTTGACATTATTAGTAACATCAATCTGCTATCTATCTATTCGTAAAACTTCCTTGCCAAATTTGGTCAAAAAGGGCTTCATTCACAAAAATTACCACTGAGTACCGTTCGCGGCGCAATCACCAGCATCAAACGCGCACTCGGGGTTATAGCAGCTGCGGTCGCACACATTGTTGCCGCGCGCGAGGTTGGAGCACGTCGGCGCACACACGGCGTTGCAGCCGTCGCCGCCAGCAAGACAGTACGGACTTCCGTCCACAAGCACCTGCCGGTCCGCAATTCGCGCGGCGACGGCGTCGGACATGACCGTCTCAATCGGGTTGTTGCTCACATCCAGCACAAGCGCCGGTTTGGCCGCAAGTAGCGCATATGGCAGCGTCGGTACTCGGTTTTGGGCCACCTGAAGGCGACTCAGCGCCGGCAGCGATATTAGTTCAGTCTCGGGGATCGACGTCAGCTGATTCGACGAGACATCCAACCGCTCAAGGGCGCGGAGCTCGTGCATCCAGTTTGGCCACTCTCGCAGCTGGTTGTCGGACAAGAGCAGCGCCGCGAGGTTCGACCATGACGACGGTCGTGTCAGTGGAAGCGCCGACGTCATTAGACTCCGCGACAGTGTCAGCGTTTGGCAGTAGGTTGGTAGGACCGACAAGGCGGGTGGGACGTCCATAAACGGCGTATCGTAAAAGTTGAGCGAGAGCAAGTTGGATGGCCACGACGCGCCATTGGGCAGCGACCAGTTGGCTGGCAGCTGCGCCGACTGCACCGTGAGTCCGTAGAGTTGCGGGAATTGCGATAAGGACGAGATGTCGAGTCCGTCGGGCAGCGGACAGCGCACCCACTGGACATAAAACAGCATTGAGCCCAGCTGGTTGGATGTAAAGAGCCTTGTGGCGTACTCAGTGTTGGTGTCGTTGCACTCGATGCGAAGCAAAGCGCATGTACAACTCGTCGTCCACCACGGTGTCGTGACCATGCGGCATTCGGGGGGGCAACGGCGGGGCGACACCGCGACGCTCAGCCCCGCGATCGCCGACACGAGTCCAATCCCGAACGAGTACGCGACCAGCCCGCGTTTGACCCACTTGTGCCACCCGTAACACCGCGGTGGTTTCTGCGGGGCCCACCGGTCGAAGGACGAGACGAGCGGACCGATCGCGCGGCTGGTCCTTGCAGTCGGGGCTACGATCGAAGAGCGCAGAAACAGCATCGGGTCGACCAGTTGTCGGACGTTCCATAGACTCGCCGAGAACAAAATGACCTTTTCCAGCAAATCCAGCGCGGTATTGGGCGCCAAAAAGCGTGTCAGGAGCGTGTAGCGCACCGTCCAATTGGACGAATAGCCGACACGCGGGTCGACGAATTTCGCGACGAGGAGCGCGGGGACAACGACGACAAGGTAGAACCCTGTCGAGAGCCCGAAGCTTGTGAGGCTGTTGACCAAACGGGCTGCGTCCGACCGTGCGGGCCACGGCGTCGAGATTGCCGCTATGCTCACGAGCAGGGCGTACGCGACAGCGACGTCAACGTCAACCGTATACATGCTGAGCCGCCACGCCTGCAAGAGCTGGACAGTTGTTTCCACCACATTGCCGAGCTGGACAACACGGGACGGCACCGAGAGGCTTCGCCAGCGCAGAGGTGTCATCGACCGACGGTAGCGGATCGGCACCAACAGCGAAATCGCGCCGAGTAGATGCGTACAAGCAAAGGCCAAGTACAAGGGCGCGCTCAGCGTCTTCATGGCGTAGACTTGGAATTTGACTTGGTCCGATGGCTTGGCAAAGAGCATGAGGAGGCCCAAGAGGAGAAGGTACACGCATGATGCTGCGTGCTTGAGAAGCGCGACAGCGACGAAGGCGCGCCGCATCTCGCGCAATGGAGCGCAGACCGAAATAGGTTTCCGATGATAACAGTACTACTGTAGTACGCGTAGCTTAAATTAGAGTGTAGTTCTTTCTACTAACGCCGTAACTACTTCATCGCATCGCCTCGTCGATACAATCCAGCGAGCCACCTTGGGACGAGAGTGTTGAACGGTCCTCCACAACGAGACGAAGCGTCCGAGACACGACAAGCCAAGTCGCAAAGAGGCATTCGCCGGTCGCAGAGTAGGGCGAGTGCCATAACCATGGCTTGGAGCGTAGCTAGTGGCGCCAGAACTCCCTGACTCGCCTTCGGTACGATTGATACATTGATACTGAAACTATATATACTCGATGCAGCCAGCGCTAATGTTTGCGTGGGGTTGTGTATGGCTCCGAAAGAGAGGCCGCTCGAAGCACGCCGAAGACGAACACCATCTTCAACGAGTTCTTCAGTGCGGTGCCAGCGTCAACAATATTCGATTTTGCGTTGGATTGGCTCGAGGCACGAGTTGCAGCAACTGACCACTTCTACCCCTCGGCGTTTACTGTACTTCTTCGAAACACTTTGATTCAACTTTGCAATTGTCAATACGAGGCCATAATATGAGGTCGCGTCGACGATGCCTAGGAGTTGTCGACGCTAGTGCTGTGACATCGCACACAACGTCAACACATCTCGGTGGACCGTCGCGTTGTCTATTGAGAGCCTGTCTTTCGATCGCGTTTAACCTGTTGGTGTGGACTGTCTAAACACACGCAATTTTGAATTGCCTTGGCGCACGCAGTGTCGTTGGCATGCAGACATTGAGCGTCCCTTTGCCAAGCGATGACGTACTACAAGAAAGCTGCAATCGAACGACCGCGCTTTGTTATCAAGCTCCCTTCGATCCCTGCTCTGTGGCTCAAGGTCGCTGTCGACATTCGTTCGAAACTCTACGTTGTTCGAGACCTTCTCTTATTCGTCGTCGCAATATCCAGCCATGTAGCCTCGCCTATGCAGGAGCCCATCACCCTCGCGTGCGATACCAGACAGCCGCCTTGCACTCTGTACGCCGGTCGGCAACCTTGCAGACGCCCGTAAAATAGCGTGTCATTAGACAGCGCGCGTACTCGGTGGTAGGACCCACGTTGAACCCGCGCACGCCGCGTTTAACCCGTTGCTGTGTGTCACCGCCACTTGTGCAAGTCAACAATTGCGGTCCATCTGGCGATCGACGACGACGCGCCGAAATTCGTCCTCGTTTTAGGTCAATTCGGTCTAATCAGGCAAGGAGGGCTCGTGGCGCTTTTAAAACACAGCTAATCAATACGCTCAACAAGGTGTTTTTATTCCAAGTATGAATCCGAATCCAAGCAAGCCCATGTCCTAATCCAAGGCCATCAAATGCCTCATATAAGGGTGCTAGATGTCCCATAGAAACCTCGAGTGGGAGGCCACCCAGCTGCATTTTAATGCACTAAAATGCAAAACTATACAAATATCCAGTCATTAAATAATATTGGACACCATATCCAGCGACCGCAGTAGCCGCGCCTGTGTCATTCGCCAACTTGCCGCCCGGTCCTTAGCATGCAGCTCGTCCTCGCCCTCTCTGCGCTGCTCGTCAGCGCCGCTCAGGCTGCCACGTACCCGACGTATACCATCCCGGCCGTGGACATGGCCGCGCCGGCGGCGGCCGCCGAGACCATCGATGCGCTGCAGACAACGGGCATCGTGGCCTTCAAGAACATCGATGGCTTCGAGGCCGCGCGCCTGGCCTACGTGGAGGCGGCCGCGCGCTGCGTGGCGACGCCGCATGCGGACGTCATGCGCAAGCTCATGGTCGATGGCACGATGCGGCGAACGCTTAGCACCAACGTGGACGTGAGCACGGTGCCATCGAGCTTGCTCGCGTCGTGCCCCGAGTACGTGTCGGCGCTCGGGTCGTTCAACGCGGTCTTGAACACGGCGACGCTCACGTTCGCCAAGCTCCTTGATGCGACGACGCAGACGTCGCTTGTCCAGGACATTGTCGAGCAGGGCAAGCACCTCGAGCACTTTCACGCGTACACCAACCCGGCGTCGGACGACGTTGCGGACGAGACGCAAGGTACAGTATCGCTCCTACACTCGCCCCATCTCATGCAGCTACGTAGAGTTTTCGCTCGAAGCGCACACGGACCTTGGCGGTGGTCTCTTTACGTCGGCGCCCGTCTTCTTCAACGCGCAGCATCAAGTGATTGCCAACCCGGATCCGACAACGGGGCTCTATATCCAGATCAAGAACGAGTGGGTGCAGCCGGTCCTCAAGTCGGACGAGCTCGTCTTCATGGCCGGCGAGGGCTGGTCGCAGTGGATCGCGACCGACGACTTGGCGTTCCCGGCCGTCGTCCACGCCATGCGCATGCCGCGTGACGCCTCGTCCGACATTGTCCGCGGCTTCCACGGCCGCATGCTTCTTCTCTCGGACGAGATGGTCATGCGCAACAACCACTTGCGTTTCGACGCCTTCAACGCCCGGAACACGCGCTACCTCAAGGCGCCACTCGCCGACGCCAAGTTCCCGACGCTCGCGTGCGCGTCGCGTCGGCTTGTCGCGTCCGACTCGAGCTGCACGCTCGGCATTTGGGCGCCGGGCAACGCGAGCGCGGCCTCGACGACCACCGACATTTGCATGTTCCACTGCAACGCGATCGGCATGCCAGAAGACACGCAAAAGTGCAAGGACCTCGGCTGCGTCAAGGCGTCCGACATCCCCAACGGCGGTACCGACTGCTGGATGGTACAACGATCCGACTCGCCGCCAAGCTCATGTGCTGATATATTGATAGATTTGCGTGCAAAAGTACTCGGACGCCGAGTGCCCCGCCCCCAAGGCGCAGACCTGCAAGGACCAGGAGCTCACATGCGACAAGGTTGTCTTGACCAAGGCGCCCAAGACCAACGCGACGACGACGACGACGGCGCCGACGATCGTGACCACCGCGCCCAAGGCCACGTCCAGCGCCACCTCGGCCCTCGTTTCGATGGCGGTCGTTGTCCTTGCTGTCGCTGCCAACTAAGGCAAGCCACCCAATCGAGTCGATTTTGGATAGTACTGTATGACGTAAGCTTCGTCCGCAGTGTCGCTAACGTCGCTAAACCGCAGAGGCAGAAAGGCGGGTCGCTCTTCATATTGCATCTCATCCACTGGTCCGTCCAGTTGAATTAACTTCATCTATAACGGCACGGGCACCGCTTCGGTCGGCGTCCGAGCGTCAGACCCCGCTATAGCAACGGGAGCGACAAGGAGCCAGAGGAAGCCCACCAAAGGGAAGGCCACCGTCGACCGACTGCTACTTCAGAAATCGCCAACGCCGACGGTGGCGTTGGTCTCATCGTTAGAAAGGCTGGATCTTATAACCGTGCAGTCTATTCCTGACAGTTCTACTTCAACGCGCTTTGCGGTACCTTGTCGACAGATGCTGCGGTCGTGTATATACACCATCGCGATCGTCAAATACGTGCTCTCGGGCGCCTACTGCCTCATTCTCGGGTATCTCGTGGGCTTCTCGCTCACAACCGAGCAGCTTGCAGTCCAAGTGTTTGCGGGCCCAACGCTGACCGCGCCGCTCTTTTTTGGCTTTGCGTTGTTGAATCTCGCTGGCATTTTCGATATTTTGCTGCCGCGCTACTGCCGACGCCGGACCGTGTCGTCTTGGCGCTGCAACGTCGAGTGGCTGCCGTCGTTTGGCTTGCTCAGTGCGCCGCGGCTCGCGCTGCAAGGTCTCGTGACCACCGCGCAGGTGCTGCAGGCCTATTACCTCAGCGAACGCGCAGTCAACACGCAACTCGCGACGATCAATGCGATTTTGGTCGGTGTCTCGGCGGTGTCGAGTCCGCTCCTGCTCGTGTTTGCGGCGTCGCACCCCGACCGAAAGCACTACTACCTCCTCTTTACGAGTCTCTCGAGCTTCCTGCTTGCGACCGGCTTTGCGCTTGCATTTGTTGTCGTGCCCGTCGGCTACGTCCAAGTGTACGACCTCAAGGCCATCAACTCGCTTGCGTGGGGCACCGAGTACACGCTCCTTATCCGGTACCTCGTGCCAAACTCGCCATTGGATTTACTAGAGAAAATGACGCTGCGTCTCGCGAGCTGGGTCAACGTCCAGCGCCTTCTTCGCGTGGTCACGCCCGATGTGACGCCCACGGTGGCGGCGACAACTACGTTGAGCTTTAGCCCGGTGGGCCCGTCTCTCGCTGCTGTCAAGCGCGCTGTGGACCGTCCACGCCGCCGACTTCTCGCCGTCTACGTTGCACTCCACATGCTACTAGGCGTGGCCGTTGCGGTGTATGCTATCGTACACGCCTGTCGAAAACCGACCTGTCCGAGCGGTTGCCGCCTGGCGACCGCACCGTGGTTTAGCCAAGGGTGTCACTGTACCTACTACCACCTCGAATGTGTGGACCCTGACGCGCCCGTGCTGTTATCCCCCGACGCTCTCGGCCCCGACCTTTTTCACATTCAGTTGACCGGGTGTCGACTCAAGCACGGGTTGGACCTCTCGCTCTTGGCGCCATTCCACGGACTCTTCGGCCTCACGATTGAGTTTTCGAATCTCACCGACTGGAGTCTCGGCCCGGTCGGGTGGCCCGACCAGATCATGGCCGTCAACGTTCGCTACTCCAACCTCTCGAGTATACCGCAAGCCTTGACGACGCTACCGGCGCAGTGCAGGACGCTGACCATTGCGGGGAGTGCGCATCTGGACACGCTACCAGCGTCGCTCGTGTCGTCGTGGCGCCACGTGGGCTCGTTGGTTCTCAACAGCAACCAGCTGACCGATGTGCCGAGCTGGCTGAGTGGGCTCACGGGCCTCGAGGTGCTCGTGCTCTCTGGCAACCAGATACAGACCGTTCCCGACGCGATGCTAGAAGCGATGCCATCGCTCACCTTTCTCAAGCTAGCCCAAAACAACCTCACAGCGTTTCCGACGGACCTCTTTGCAGCAAGACCCGAGCTGGACATGGATCTCAGCAACAACCCGATCGCTCCCCTCCCGAGTCTCCCGTCAGCGCTGACGCGCGCTATCAGCTCGGGAGCAGTTGTTCTGGACGGCACACCGCTCTGTGCTGCGCTCGGAAATGTTTGCAGTGGCAGCTGCTCGCCGAGCTGCTCCCGGTCCGAGCGCGGCGACCGTGTGTGTCAACTCAACTGCTTTGACGAAGCGTGCGCGTGGGACCTCGGCGACTGCGCGGGCGGTGGTTCGCAGTGAAAGAAACCTCTATGGAGGGATGAAGCGCTGAGTACAATAATGTCATCCACCATAATGCAAGGTAGTTTTGATTTGACACCGTGGCAAAGAACGTGCACATGCGGAGCTGTGGGAGCTGGGCGGCGTCTGTTTTGGCATGGTTGTTGGCATATGCCATATATTGCACTTTATTATCGGCACAGTATGCCGCTTATAAGCCCCAGGTGGTATTTTAGGCTCACCCAGCGTAGGCAGATGCCGTGAAATAATAGTTTTCAGAGGATTAAATCGACATACGATTTCAAAGATATTGGTTGGCATACTTTTTAAATGACTTCTAGTCGATTTGATTGGTTATATTGAAATTTTTTAAACCAATCAAATGCAGTTGAGGGCCCGCGACGCCCGTCGATCCCTCGTTGAGCACTCTGATCGACCAAAACGCGTTTGAAAATGGAATCGCCCAAGCTTGGCACATCGATAACAGACACTTTGGAGAGCACGAAATGCTATGTCACGCTGCTGTTTGATGTGTAGAACAAGAGAAATCGTCGAAACTCTTAAATATGGTGTATACCAGATATAACCATATTTAGCCAAATTGTTGCATGTCCCCGGTCCAGCAAAGCTGCAATCGCGATGACAGTACTATCCATAGTAGTGCATCGCTTAAGACGCATCGCTGGACAAAGCTAAGCTTATGTGAGCGTTGGCGCATCTATACGCGCTCGATACTGCGGACATTTCTAACGTTAGCCTTCAAAACTCCTGCTGCTGCGCCCACAGCGCGCTGTCTCTCGGTGCCCCTAGAACTTTTCTATAGTTGACAAGCGGTGCGCTTCCGAGGTATCATGGTCGTGTTGGTATTGCAAAACCATCGCTCCTTATTCAAGTTGGAGCGACACCTTGTTCGCGTCCTCTACCGTACAGCAGACCAGTACATGGTCAGCTGGTACATGGTGGTCGCCGCATCGTGACGATCACTCAGGCGAGCGCAGGCATGTCTTGTCATTTCTACTCGGTGGTCCTCGGCCTTTTCGTCAACTGCGTTAGCGTGCGCGAGCTATACATTATACAGCGCCTTTGGCGGCGCACGGATGCAAAATCTGACAGTGTCGATCGCCCGGCCTTGCGGCAAATTTCTAAACATACTCATATTGAATCTATATTCCCCGTATAGTCTCAATATAGCAAAAGAATATCAATATTTAAAACATATCGCGACGGTTGTGATAAAAACAAAGCCAATCAGCGGCAAGATCGAGCAAAGATACGCGCTTCGGACCGCCAGGATGCAGCGCAGGACGGGGATATGCTCGCTGTCGCCGTCGCCTTTGGCGTCCTCGCGGCGCTCCTCAGCGGCCTCTTCTTCCTGCCGAGTCGGTACCTCCCGTACTCTGTGGCCGCCTCTAGCATCCAAGTCCCTCCTGCCAAGCTCGCTGGTGAGGCTATGTACGTTTACTGCTTGCACCAGCACACGGCCGCCCGCCGCGCGTCGCTCGAGGCCGCGACCACCATGACGCGCCATGCTGAGTGGCTCGTCTACATTGGCATAGCGGCGTCCGCCGCGTCCAGCTACGTGCCCCTTGCGTATGTAGGCCTCGGCAGCGGTAGCTTTGTGCTGTGGCACGTTGCGTCGTTCTGGCGCAATGACGTCCGCCGACGCCAGCACGACGTCGACGCCGACCATTGGGCCGCAGTGTCGCCTTGCGTGCAGGCGTTTCTCGCTCGGGCCATGCCCCCTAGCTCGCCTTTGAAGACGCCGCCCGGTTGGTGGTGCTAATGTTGTAGTACATGTCTCCTTGCCTTCTATCCCAGACCTAAACCCCATCCTGGTTAAACCCTGCAGGGACACAAAACAAGACGTGCGCTTGTCGTCCATAGTAGTGTCAGCGCCGAGTTGCAAAGGATCGAGGTACTGCGTACTCGTATGAAGAGCACACGAACGGTCGATCGGACATGTTCGTGTTGGAATTAGAAAGAGCAAAAACGAGCGCAAAATCGTTGGAAAATTGTTGACAAACCCATAAATGGCATCCGCATGTGATCAACAAGAGATCCATCTTGGGATATGTTATGCTCGTGCTAAATATACATACAAAAACAATATATGCGACCCACTTTTCGGTCCTTGCCCACGACGCGAGAAAACTTGATCAATGCAACGCAATAGCCGCGTCCTCGTCGCGCCGGCTGGCCCCGCAGCAGGACCCGCGCCGCCGTCGATCGAGTACACTCTGCGCCGTCCATTCCTGATCATTAGCTTTCTCAAGTTCATTGCGTCGGCGGTCTACCTCGCGCTCACGAGCATGCTCATGGTCACGGGCACACCGTCGACCGCGATTAAATTTGAAGTCTACGCCATGCAAACTGCGTCAGGCCCGCTGTATGGGGTATTCGCACTGCTGCACTTGGCGGCAGCGATCGAAATGCTTGTACCTGCACGCTGTCGGCACCATACCACCAGTAGCACGTCGCTTCTTCGAAAGGCGCCCATTTGGCTCCCACAAGCGATCCAGTGCATTGTCTCAAGTGTGCAGCTCATACAAGCGTACAAGCTTAGCGCAAGTGCAGTCTCAAGTGCCGTCACGACCGCCTACTCGCTCACGCTTGCCGCGTCCTGCCTCCTTCCACCATGGCTCTACTACTCGTCGCACCCGTTCGTGCGGCATCACATGGCGCTCTTCTTCTCGTCCTTCTTCGGTTTTCTCTTGGCCACCGGCGTCAACTTGGCATTTTTCCTCCCGCCGATGGTCACCGTCACGATGCGCGACAAGCGTTTGGGGTATGGCATGGCGTGGACGACCGAGTATGTGCTCTTGACGCGCTGCTTGGTTCCTGGTACACTCGTCGATCTCGTGGAGAAGCTCGTGCTCTTTGGCATGAGCTACGTTAGCTCGCGCCAGCTCGTGCAGAGTGTCTTTGCGGTCGCCGCGCCCGCAGCGTCCAGCCGGCTCCTCTCGGGACACCTTCGCGCGCTGGCGTCGGTCAAGGACACGCTTTCGTTTCGAAAACCGCGGTCGCGCTTCACGCATGTGTTTTTAGCGGTGCATCTCGTCATTGGAAGTGCTGTGCTCGCTATGGTGCTAACACCGCGGCCCGCCTGTCCCGCCAACTGCAAACTCGCGGTGGCGCCGTGGTTGACGTCGACGTGTCAGTGTATTTACTACCATTTCAACGGCCACGACAATATGTCCATCGATGCGGCGACAATATCGAGCGACCGTATCGGCGACCGCCTCTTTTACCTGCATCTCTCCAACTGCACGCAACTGCCGGATCTGCACCTCTTGGCGCGGTTTGGTAACCTCTACGGTCTCACGGTTGAATTTGGACATGCCACGTCATGGGCCAAGCACAACAATGCGTCGTGGCCATCGTCGTTGATATCGCTCAATTTGCGCTACGTTCCACTAAACGTCATTCCGGAAGCCCTCTTGGAGTTGCCGCCCAACTTGCAAACACTCTCAATCACGGGCTGTCTCAACCTCTCGCAACTGCCCAACACGGTCCGCAATTCGTGGGCGACCGTGGCATGGCTGGTTCTCAACGACAATGCATTTGTTGAGATGCCGCCGTTTTTAGCCAATTTCTCGGCGCTTGAGCGACTCGTCGTGTCGACCAACCGCCTCACCACTCTCCCCGAGGCCGCGCTCGCGTCGCTACCACGCTTGACGCGGCTCGAAGCCGCACAAAACAGCCTCACGCAGTGGCCACGCCACCTTGTGGACGCCAAGCCCACTCTGTTTATCGATCTCAGCAACAACCCGATCGCTGCCGTGCCCACGACGGGCGCCATTGCATCTCGACAGGCTGTGCTGGACGGCAGCGACTACTGCAAGGCGACGTTTGCAGCTGGGTGCCACGCTGTCTGCAGCCCGCTTTGCTCCAACATTGAAGTCGGCGACAAGGTTTGTCAACTCAACTGCTGGACGGCTGCATGTCAGTGGGATGGCAACGACTGCGCGAACGGCGGCTCACAGTAGCTGCTATGATATACTAGTACAGTACATGGATGTGTCTACTCGGACCAAGACAATATATCGGAGTGTTATGGCGACTGTGCGGACATTGCTACATCATCTCGCAAAAATTCTGACCAACCACAGAGGTTCGCGGGACAGTCGTAGCAAGGGCATACCGGTAAATGCCTTCAGGTTGACGCTAGGAAAGCTAGGACTCGAGACTTTTTCAATCTCAGCAGCTCTACTAAGATGGCACTGCTGCAAGGACGCGGTTGCCAAGCGGTGAGTCGACCTCGATCCTGCCATCAAAATCTGCGCGGTGAGTGGCGCTCTGTCTGCAGTTCGAGCTGCTCCACCTTAGGCGACTGCATTAACTCAGCTGCCTGCAGCTACGACAGCAGCAGCGACGCCAACCCTTGTCAAGACTTCCGAGCAGTTGCAGAGTCCACGTCATGCTTGCACGTGGAGCACGAGCAAGCAATATGAGTGGTAGCTATAAGTTGAAGCGTGGAGAGGCTGCTGCAGCTTTGAACCATTCGACTCGCATGTCCCGCCCACACAAGTGGTTTTGCAGCAGAGCATTGGTGCAGTGTACCTTGCTTTGCGTACGAGTCCGAGCGTGACAAGCCAATAGCCCTACCCCTCCCTGCGTGCACGCGCGCGTCGTAACACGTTCGAATTTCAATGTCACTAGCGTTGCTTCTCCGGCAAACATGTCGGTAATGAGGCAGAATCCTAGCGATCGACACCTGGGCTTAGATGAGGCCACTTTCCTCATCTATAGTCCATCTTCATAGTATTGCGTTGCATAGTCGTGAGGCAAAGGCTATCACTTGGCCTGACCCGCCAATGTCCAAGGGCTCCAACTAGCAAGTGCTAAGATACACAGTCGTGCACAGTCGTAGGGTGATGGTGCGAATCAAGTTGTGTTGTTCGGCATGACTCTTTGCAGCCGGCTGTTGCTCATGTAATATCTACTTCCAACCATCCACAAGCTCGAGCCAGACATGTGGACCGTCTCCGGATTAAAATAGTGTTAAATCATGGCATTCCATTTCCTATCAGAGCTGCCTCGCACGAACACAAAGCCGAGCAGCAATAGCTAGATCAAACGCTCTGCTGTGTCTCATTCATGGTGTGGGGAGCTGTATGTCCATACCAGCAGCGAGGTCCTAGGAGCAGGCAGGTTGATGTACCTATGCACACTATTTTATGCAACTGGAACGACATTCGGTTCTGGTCCACAGGTCGCTTGCACGAATCCACATGTTTGCCATGTCACCGCGGCGACCATTACTGAAGCGAGATCTTTGCAGGTTGAGAGCTCACTTTGCATTTTGCACGCCACCAACCAACGACTACCATGAAGCTTCTCTCCATCTTCCTCGCGGCCGCGGTTGCCTATGCCGCCAAGTCGTGCGACAACAAGACAGACCCCCCAGCGCCGACGAGCCTCTCGCCGACGATGACCCCTGCCCCGACGACGTACACTCACGCGCCGACGGCTGGCCCCACGGTCGCCCCCACGAAGGCCCCGACGTCGGCCCCTACATCGGCCCCCACGGCGGCCCCCCAGCCAGGCAACGGCTCGCCGATTCTCATCAACTTGGCCGTGCCCGACCACGTCGGCGTCGACTGCCCCGGTATCCAGTCGCGTCATCCTGCCGGCACGCTCTTCTGTGGCTCGCCCAAGCCGCCGGGGGCCAACGTCTACGAGCCGTCGTGCGACAAGTCGATGACGATCTCGTACAAGGGCAAGAGCGTCACGTGTGTGATTTCGTTCCAGGCTTCGGGCGTCGGTCTCACCACGGACGCGTATGTCGAGATTGTCCCCGAGGCGTACAAGGTCTTGACGGGCGAGACGTATGGCGGCCAGCTCTTCGGCGGCACCTGCACCGGTGTCTGCAACGTCGCCCGCTCGTAAGCACACTTTATCAACTGTCTCGTCGTTTTTGTACATTAATTCAATCTCCTTTTGCACCACTTCGAAATACCAACATTTGAAACGTCCACACTTGGAGATAGCACACAACGGCGGTTTCTGCCGATAGCATGTTGGCACGTTGACAAGCAAATACTGCGAAATATTGTCAGGATCTGAGCTGTCAGTGTCCTGTCCTGGAGAAACGAACGTCGTCTTGCCCAATGAATCAATGCATGGGTGAGTTCGGTCCAAAAATGCAGGTAAAAAGCATCCAACAAGAGCACATTTCACGCCATTTGCGCGTAGTATTCGAAACGGAGTAGCTTTGCACGCCTGGCGCAGTCCCTTGCATTCGTTCGGATCGCGTATTTTTACGATGTGTTTGCTCCATGGTTGAGATCGAACGTGGCTGTAGGTCGGTGTGTGCGTCGTCGCCGTCCCACACGCCAGTGTCTACCTCGTGGCTATGCCGTTGGCGCTGGGTAGCGTCGCAGAGACAGCGAGCATAGCGCCTCGAGAGGCGGGCAATGCGACCCAGACGTGGACTGGTTGCTGGGAATCGTGTCTGAGGAATGATTGCAGAGCGATATAACTTACAAGCGTTCAAAAGGGGCACGATGGCGGTGGCAAAGACGCGGGGCTCAAGGGTAGAGTACTGGTAGCGCTACGATGTCGCTACATTCGAGTCCAATAGCATGACAGTGGTTACGTACACGTACAGTGCAGCTTGCGTCCTTCGCTCAGTCCACCTTGCTATTCACTCACTCACTTCCTTCTTCCTCTCTGGAAGGTCCTCCACTGCTTGACCGCAAAATCAACGACACCGCAAGATCGAAATCGAGTGCAATGTGAGTGACCCAGGAATCATCGCACGTGCGGCGGCGCAGAGCATCATTACACACAAGTAGGATACACTCAAACTCTCTTGGTGTTTGTATGCAACAGCTGGGGCCGCGCAAGGCAGCCGGTCGCGTTCGATTTGGCAATCCGGCGCTGCGTTTGCACTTGTCATTTTCCAATTCGATCCATGAAGGCCATCTACCTCTTGAGCGCGCTTCTTGCGGCTGCGGTTGCCGACGTCAAGCAAGACTACGAGCCGTGCAGCATGCAGCACGACTACTGCGCCAAAGACAGCTGGATCTGCTGCGTTGGACCCAAGGACGTCAAGTCGGGCAAGATGACGTGCCGCCCCGGCGGCAGCGACTGCATCTGGGACTCGCCTGAGATGCGCAAGTCGGGCTACTGGGACTCGTCTGACTCGAGCTCCGGGTGGGACTCGGGCTCCGGCTCACACCCGTCGGATGAGCCGAGCGATGAGCCGAGTGACGAGCCGAGTGACGAGCCGAGTGACGAGCCGAGTGATGAACCTAGCGATGAGCCGAGTGACGAGCCGAGTGACGAGCCGAGCGATGAGCCGAGTGACGAGCCGAGTGACGAGCCGAGTGATGAACCTAGCGATGAGCCGAGTGACGAGCCGAGTGACGAGCCGAGTGACGAGCCGAGTGATGAACCCAGCGATGAGCCGAGTGATGAGCCTTCGAACGATCCGACCGACGGCCCCACGGATACCCCAACCGATGCGCCGACGGACGCTCCCAAGCCGACGCCGTCGCCATCGAGCCAGCCGGGCAACGGGTCGCCGATCCTGGTCAACTTGGCCGTGCCCGACCACGTTGGTGTCGACTGCCCTGGCATCCAGTCGCGCTTCCCGGCTGGCACGCTCTTCTGTGGCTCGCCCAAGCCGCCGGGGGCCAACATCTACACGCCGTCGTGCGACCAGTCGATGACCGTGACGTGGCAGGGCAAGAGCGTCACGTGCGTCATTTCGTTCCAAGCATCGGGCGTCGGCTTGACGACCGACGCCTACGTCGAGCTTGTCCCCGAGGCCTACGCCGTGCTCACGGGCTCGACGCAGGGTGGCATCATCACGGGCGCGACCTGCAGTGGCGTCTGCAACGTCGCCCGGTCGTAAACCATCGAGTAATCCTTTGTGTTATATACCATCGTCGTCGTCACATGTAAATGAATATAAAACAACACCGACCGTGTTGTCCACTGAAAGACGTCTCTGAGAGTTCTAGCATCGCTAGCAGTTGGCTTCTTGTGTTGTTGAAATGAGTTCTTAACATGCAATTATATACTAGTAGTGAAGATGGTGGACTTCCTAATGCGCTCGTGAGGTTTGGCCCAAGCTGAGGGCGCTTGGTCGGGGCTCAGGAGTTGGCTTCTTGCGTACTCCTACACGTTTGTTTGGTCATAAAGTGCAACTGGTCAACCCTTGAACTGCGATCTTCTTGTCAATTACGCAAAAGGGCTAGGGTAGAACGTTTCGTGTTGCAGGCTCAGACATGTGTTTTCTGGTCGTCGGTGTTCATGATCGTGCACGTGGTGCGGTAATGGACCGGGACGCCAGCAGCTTCTCGCGCTGCTTGCTGAAGCTTCTGCCGTGTATCCCAGAATCATTTCACTGCGTGCGGTCGTCACTGTCAGCATCTAGACACTGAGAGGAGGAGCTACAGTGCTGAGTGGTAGAGAGAATCCTGCAGCGATCTTGGAGTCCAACCGCTCCTCGGTGATCGAGGTAGAGTGGATGTACACTGCTCGCGCTTGCAGTCGGTACATACATCGCTCGGGAAGAGCTTGGAGTTACGTGCAACACTGTGGTGTGCGAGCAAGCAAGCCTGGGCGACAGAGGGAATCCTTGAGCATCTAGTACATGTGTATCGCTGATCCGTTCGACGGGTTATAGATGTGTACTAGGTTCCCGTCGACCTTAGTAACGCCCCTTCCGATACATACGCGTGCAAAGTAGCGGACCGTGTGGACGTCAAGAAGCTTCGATCGCTCGTCGACAGCGTTCGGGTTCCAGGTGGTGCAAGCTGTAGCATTGGTCACACCATGGCGATCCTTTGACGAGCACGACTTGTGGTGCAATGTCATTTTCATTTTTCCACGCTTCCATGCAACGCTTCGTGTGCCTCACTGCTGTGCTCGCGGCCGGCGCCAACGCGGCGGCGCAGCCCGCGTGGCATGTGTGCCACCGCCAACACGATTCGTGCGCGACCAAGAACTGGGTGTGCTGCGTCGGCCCCGACGATCTTGTGAGCGGCAAGACGACGTGCCGCCCTTCGTGCGAAACGACGCCGCCACGCATGAAGCCGACTCGTACGGAGGACTGCGACGGTGACGACGATGACGACGACTCGGGGTCCGACGAGCCAAGTGACGATGAGCC